TGAGCAGTGCTGTGAAATTCAGGGCCCCAGTCTCCTGAGTCCTTTGGGCTGGGTGAATCTTGCCTCAGGTTTCATTCTCCTCTACTCCGGTGTTTACTGGGGATCTGAACGGTCAGCGTGTTGCTGTTCCTTTAGGCAAGTCTTGCAGGACTTCTTTATGGGGCCATCTCCAAGGGGCAGAGTTCAATGGGCGTTAGGAGTGAGCAGTGCTGTGAAATTCAGGGCCCCAGTCTCCTGAGTCCTTTGGGCTGGGTGAATCTTGCCTCAGGTTTCATTCTCCTCTACTCCGGTGTTTACTGGGGATCTGAACGGTCAGCGTGTTGCTGTTCCTTTAGGCAAGTCTTGCAGGACTTCTTTATGGGGCCATCTCCAAGGGGCAGAGTTCAATGGGCGTTAGGAGTCGACCAGCCCAGTCCCTCTCCGGGAGTTTCTCGAGCTTTTCGTCCTGACCTTTGGCCCGCTGTCAAAGTTGAGATCATCTTGCCTCTCCCCTCGCAAACCCAACTCTCCTCCTTGCACAGCGCGTGGCCAGCGCATGACTCGGGATCTCAGACACTGCCTGGAGAAAGGCGGGACGTGCCGCTATAACGACTGCGATGACGACGAAGTGGAGATCGGCACCTGCTACCACCATACCATGATATGCTGCCGGGATTAGGAGGGGATGCTACCCCAGAGACATCCCCTTCCCAGATGCCACCAAAACGTCTGCTCCTTGTCTTCTTTTTTAATTAAAAATCAGCTGGTGTTAAATGACGTGTCTCCGATGCGTCCACACCCTGGCTACGTCTACACTCGTGGCTTCTTGCGCAAGTAATATGCAAATGAGGCTAAGCGTGGAATATCACCGAGCCTCATTTGCATACCTAATGAACCTCCATTTTTTTCAGAAGAGGCTCTTGCGCAAGAAGGAGCATCTACATTGCCCCCGCTTGCACAAGAAAACCCTCTTAAATTAATGGAGATTGCCTATCTCCTAGAGCTGGAAGGGACCTTAAAGGTCATTGAGTCTAATCCCCTGCCTTCACAGCAGGACCAAGAAACTTTTGCCCCAAATCCCTAAATGGCCTCCACAAGGATTGAACTCACAACCCTGGGTTTAGCAGGCCAATGCTCAAACCCCTGAGCTATCCCTCTCCCCAAAGTAACAGGTGTAATCCTGAAAAGTACTAGGTG